TCTCCTTAGTTTTCAGGTGCACAAACAGTTAATCATGGAATTTATCACCTTGGAAGACTGGAAGTCTTCCCCGTACCTTCAGTTTTGTCTCTAGGGCATCTCATTTGGAAGAGCTCCTCCCAATTCTGGTTCATGCAAACCCTTTTATTCTAAGGAAACGGACAACATTGTGTATATTGATGTAGATGTCTACATGTTAGTGGAGCTATTTAGTTTTCCATGTCTGAGGACATTGGGCAGTGCCAAGGCATTGCTAATTTGTGTTGATTCTTCTGTGGTAGATTTTCTGCTGGCAAGTAGTTAATTCACACCACCAATTCTGTCACACACCTTGCAACCACAGAGCACTCATCAAAACTGAATTTGTTTGCATCCAGTTGTAACTACTACTGCATTTCTGAGACTGTGCTATAATGTCTTCTACCTAGTGCCTCTTCACATGCACAGTCAATTTACCTCAGTTACATTATTCTCAATAAAATTTGGACACCACAGCAGATCTGACTTTCAAAGTGCTTAGGGTCATTGACCTCTAGAAATTTCACATCTGTCCATTGACTTGGGACAATGAGTGGCCTGAGCATGGATCAATGGAAGAAAAAGGTGTGCATAGATAACTCGCAACCAGAGAGATAGCCAAGGTCTGTATGTATTGGAAGCTTGAGGTCAGTTATGTCTGTCTATCCTTAGTCCCTGAGGACAAGGGTAGGCCCTGCCCTGACTGTGACTCTTACCCGCTCTGAAATAATTCACAGCCTTGAAATCATAAGGATTTGGGTCGGTGGTAAAATGTTTTTGGAGTGATTCTGTGACTGTCAAATTGTTTGGCAGCTTCAGTAGATGTCTGCGTACAGAAGCAGTTAGTCATTTCATTTGTAGTTGCAAAATGATAAACGGAATTCAATATTGTATATTCAATCTGGTCAATGACTTTCTTGTACAGCTATCTACCTACTATCTATCCATCTATCTATGCATCATACTCCTGAGTGTTGAGATAACAGGCCTGCACTATCATGCCTGGATCACATCTCTCTCTAATAACCGGAACATACAGAAATCAAGAGAAGAAAATTTAAATGATATCACTTAGCGTTATATGTACAGCGATGCTAATACATGGTTTTTTCTCCTTCAAGTATTTTACACTCAAATGCTTTAGATATTTTAATTCTGAAAGGAGGAATACTTCAAGAAGAAAGAAAAAGATCAATTCCTCTGGGACGTCAGAATTTCATTTGACACCAGAGCAATTTAGCTTCCTCATGCCTTTGAATCAAAAGATGAAGAAAAATGTACCAGTGTCAGCTGGAATGATTGACTCTGACTACCAAGGAAATTCACCTGCCATTCCACAGAGGGAACAAGGACAAAATTGCTAAAGCCGGGAGATAAAGTTCCACAAAACTGCAATCATTCAAACTACTTAAAGAGAATTAATGCCCCAGAATGAAGTTGTATCAGTGGACTTCTGAGTCATCATGCAGAGGTAAAATATAATGACTAGCTGATGATTTCCTTCAACCCAAAAGCAATGCAGATAAGTCACTAAAGGAAAATACCTGAAAATACTAGCCCCTGACAGGAATTACAGAGATGGAGAACTGAAAGTGTTGGAAGTATTTCCTCCTTGTTCTGAGATAAACATGTTTATGTTTGTATACCTTAGGAAAATGTATGTTGCTATAGCAAAATACAAGAGGCTGGATAAATTAAGGAAGAAAAATGTTTATTTAAATCTAAGTCTCAGAGATTAAACATGACAACATCAGGGGTCCAGAACCACTGAGCCTCTGGTGAGGGCTCCCATGGCTGCAGCACAGGATGGTGGAGAAATTTAAGTGGGTCTGGCCAGGTGCAGAAGGAGCTCCATGACAAGAGAGAGAGATAGAGACCCAGGACCCGCTCACTCTTTCCATGTCTATCTGCTGTCCTAGGAACTAATTCATGGCACATGAATTCATTTTCTGCACTTTTCCCTATTCTTGCAGGAGAGAAACAGGTACAAATATGCTTTTACAAGAGTGCACAAGCAATCTTCTGACATGACAGTGCTCAAAGGGTTTTCTGTTGTCTGGGTGTGTGTGAGAGAGAATATGATAATGGGGACATAGTGAAAAGACTTGGCTTTTAACCAAAAAGTTTACAGCTTTCTATAAAAATTCCTAATCTCCATGTATTTATTTTTTTATTTATTGGAACCGGGAATTGAACTCAGGACTTATGTTTGCCAGGCAGGC